TATTATGTTAACAAAAACTTTTATTTTGGATGTGATTAATCACGATTAATCATTTGACAGCCCTACTAAATAGATTACATTATGTGTTCAATTTAGTTTCCTTTAGGTGCACACAGAATCTGCACACTTTATTTTACACTTTTCATTTCTCTGCACAGATTCGGGAGCGCATGTGTACCATCATAATGGAGTCGGTGGTGCCGTCAGACAAAGGCAACTACACCTGCCTGGTGGAAAACAAATACGGCAGCATCAATCACACCTACCAGCTGGACGTAGTCGGTCAGTCTTATTACCTATGTTGATGTAAATATCATCTACACCCAAGCACGTCTTTCCTTCCCCACCAGCTCAGCTGCAGTGATTTATTGCAAACCCTAAATATATTTGCGTTTTTATCTAGCACGGGCAAATGATCCCCCATGTAATGCAATGTTTACTTGAGTCAATCAGATGCAAATGGGTGTTGTTCACCATGCAGCTAATGCTTTGGCGCAGCACCACTAATGGTTACCATTACTTCGCTGAAATGAACCGAAGTAACGGCTCGCTTTACATTTTCCGTGCGAGCGCCAAGGACAGGCACGCTACTCTGTTGGTGGTGAGTGTTAAATGATCCATTGCAAATATAAAGTGTTTACGTGATGCAGTGGATGAGTTAGAGACGTGGTTGGCGGCTCAAGATGAGATCAGTGTATGTGGAATAAAGTAATTCAAACACTGATTGGCTGACATGGACTTGATTGATGCCTTCATTAAGTAGCAAATAAATCAGTGCTGCTGTGACATCATTTGCACCCTACATACACATTCATGAGAAGACGCCATTTTAATTTGTCACTCGCACACAACATTTGCACATCTACGGCATCAAGTCCACTTGGGATGTTCCTACTTCTGAGTTCAGAGGATGCGAGTTTGTGTGCGATTTGTATCAAAATAAAATAGACGCGTACATTTTTCTCTCTTTTTTATGTTTGTTTGTAGATTTATAGACTTGCCGCCTTTTTTTCTGAAGTTCTGAGAGATGGGCTGTGGCTTTCAAAATAAGCCATTAAAATAAAAAACTTAGGCCTATTTATTGTTTTTGTTTTTTTGGTTTTGACAACCTTAATAAATAATTTTGTGACACCAAAAACTGCTAACTCTTGTTGCTAACCTATATCTTTCATGCATCAACATCTACAGTATATATATATATTAAATATATATCAATATATATATATTTATAATCTATATAATCTTATATAATATATTATACTATATTATATATTATATAATCAATATATATATATATATATATAAGAACAAATCAAATTACGAGCAATATCTCAGATACAATAGAACGAACATACAAATTAAATAAACACTGCTTTTTATGATTTTTAGGTAAGTCTAACAGTAATTTTCAGGTAGAAAAAATAAATAATCAAATGTAAAATAGAATAGTCTTCTCTGTATAAATTAAATATAGAAAATTTACAACAGTTTGGTGCAATGAGTGATTATTTTTAACTGTCCTTGTTTGATTAACATTAAAACGAAAACCTGCACGGATCCAATATACTTACGCACATTTTATTTCTCAACTGTTTATGGCACTTAAGATATAACAGACTATGGTTACTGGGATACTCGTTGAGACCGGTATTTTCTGATGTAATTGTGTGTGTATGTGTCGTTTGAGCGCAAGATGACGTGAACGAGAGCCCGATTCAGCATTCGCGCGGCTGTCTGAGAAGCGGCTTTCTTCAGATGTGTGCGCAAACAAAACTTCACACTATTGAATTTAGCTCTCTTTCGCGTCTTCTTGCACTTGAATATTTAAATTGACAAGGCTTTCATGATGCCCGATCGGACATGTGCCAGTTGTGTCGACTTTCCTGAGTGACGTCTGAGCAGTCCTTATTGTCGAGCCCTGTTGAAGATCCCATTTGCCGTAATACAGATTCATATTTTGATTTCTTTAAGAGGGAAAAAGAATTGAAAAGAATTGTTAATCAGGTTTATTTCAACCTCACTGACATAAATGTGTGTGTGTGATACAGAGCGTTCACCGCACAGGCCGATCCTCCAGGCCGGTTTGCCTGCTAACCGCACCGCAGTGGTGGGAAGTGACGTGGAGTTTGAGTGTAAAGTCTTCAGTGATCCTCAGCCACACATCCAGTGGCTGAAGCACATCGAGGTGAACGGCAGCAGAGTCGGCCCTGACGGACTGCCGTACGTTCGAATCTTGAAGGTAAAATCCATTTCCTCTTACTAGTCAAGCTGCTAATGTTGTTAAGGTATTTTGTCCGTTTGACAAAACTGTCTTTTTGTCTATATTAACAATGTGGTGACTCCTCGAAGTTTACAATATTTAATCAAGAGTCAAATAATTTAACTCTTGCCTTGCCAGCCAGCGCCAGCTTTATTGATCATTTTCACAAAACTTTAATGGCCACTGGAATATTGTGTTGTATGGATATCTAATCATGCAATACATTAACCCATTTACTCCTAAAACGTCAGCTAAAAACGCCTATAAAAACCTATGTTCTAGGATAAATGTCCTTATCTCCTGAGGGTTTTCTGAAAAAATACTAAGAATTGTCAACGTCTACTAAAACCTTAATATCTAAGCCTCTGTAGCACTTAGAAACATGAAATAAAATACATTTTAAAGGTAAGAATCACAGCTTTTATTTAAACATGCTTCATTGGAACTCGCATAACAAAACATTTTTCTAAAAATTCTCAAAAAATAAATTTAATAAAAAATATAAATCAATTATATAAAATATCACAAATAATATTTTAAAACATGCCAACACTGAACAATTCATTTTATGAGAGACCAATCGACAAGACCCACCTCATGTGTATTTGAACCAATGACTGTGCGTTTTATGCTGCATGTGTCATGAAAAGTTTGACGAATACAAAATGCTGCGTCACGCAGCAGCCGGCGGGAGTTTCAGAGTTGCACAACGCAGTAACCGGCGCTAGATGTAATGTTGCGGCGCGCAGCTTCCGTCACAAATGGGTTAAAAGAAATAACAGATTTTTTTTTATCAACACTTGTTGGTTAAGTTGGTTAAGTAATTAAAAACAACAACATTTTGAACGAAACGCTGATAGCTGATAATACCATACCATGGTATTGCCATACCGGTATTCGTATTGTTTACTTCAAACGCTACAACGCACATAAGCAATGGTTTTATCGCTTGTTTCTGCTCCTTTTTTGCATGTGTTTTGATCAGGAGGATTCGGTACTTTTTCAGAATTTAATAATTAGTCTAATAATTATTCATCTAATATTTGTTTTTAATTTAATTTGAGCTATTTTTTGGTTTTAGTTAACACTACATTTTGTAAAAATAAATAAATAACAAAAAGTGTTGTTAGAAGCTGACAGTTTAAGTCAATGGAATAAACAAACCAAATTCCTCAAACTTACACGGTGTGTGTATATGTATGTGTATATATATATATATATATATATATATATATATATGTGTGAAGAGTTCAGATGCAAAAGCCTCTAAATGCCATTTGAAATTTTCTTCTTTAATGATGATTTTTATCAAACTTGTATATGTTCAGTAATTTCACTTAAATAACAATTAATAGGTAATTATCATTGCCATTTAAGGGAAATTACTGAACTTAAATATACAAGTTTGATAAAAATCATCATTAAAGAAGAAAATTTCAAATGGCATTTAGAGGCTTTTGCATCTGAACTCTTCACATATATATATATATATATATATATATATATATATATACACACATACATATACACACACCGTGTAAGTTTGAGGAATTTGGTTTGTTTATTCCATTGACTTAAACTGTCAGCTTCTAACAACACTTTTTGTTATTTATTTATTTTTACAAAATGTAGTGTTAACTAAAACCAAAAAATAGCTCAAATTAAATTAAAAACAAATATTAGATGAATAATTATTAGACTAATTATTAAATTCTGAAAAAGTACCGAATCCTCCTGATCAAAACACATGCAAAAAAGGAGCAGAAACAAGCGATAAAACCATTGCTTATGTGCGTTGTAGCGTTTGAAGTAAACAATACGAATACCGGTATGGCAATACCATGGTATGGTATTATCAGCTATCAGCGTTTCGTTCAAAATGTTGTTGTTTTTAATTACTTAACCAACTTAACCAACAAGTGTTGATAAAAAAAAATCTGTTATTTCTTTTAACCCATTTGTGACGGAAGCTGCGCGCCGCAACATTACATCTAGCGCCGGTTACTGCGTTGTGCAACTCTGAAACTCCCGCCGGCTGCTGCGTGACGCAGCATTTTGTATTCGTCAAACTTTTCATGACACATGCAGCATAAAACGCACAGTCATTGGTTCAAATACACATGAGGTGGGTCTTGTCGATTGGTCTCTCATAAAATGAATTGTTCAGTGTTGGCATGTTTTAAAATATTATTTGTGATATTTTATATAATTGATTTATATTTTTTATTAAATTTATTTTTTGAGAATTTTTAGAAAAATGTTTTGTTATGCGAGTTCCAATGAAGCATGTTTAAATAAAAGCTGTGATTCTTACCTTTAAAATGTATTTTATTTCATGTTTCTAAGTGCTACAGAGGCTTAGATATTAAGGTTTTAGTAGACGTTGACAATTCTTAGTATTTTTTCAGAAAACCCTCAGGAGATAAGGACATTTATCCTAGAACATAGGTTTTTATAGGCGTTTTTAGCTGACGTTTTAGGAGTAAATGGGTTAATGTATTGCATGATTAGATATCCATACAACACAATATTCCAGTGGCCATTAAAGTTTTGTGAAAATGATCAATAAAGCTGGCGCTGGCTGGCAAGGCAAGAGTTAAATTATTTGACTCTTGATTAAATATTGTAAACTTCGAGGAGTCACCACATTGTTAATATAGACAAAAAGACAGTTTTGTCAAACGGACAAAATACCTTAACAACATTAGCAGCTTGACTAGTAAGAGGAAATGGATTTTACCTTCAAGATTCGAACGTACGGCAGTCCGTCAGGGCCGACTCTGCTGCCGTTCACCTCGATGTGCTTCAGCCACTGGATGTGTGGCTGAGGATCACTGAAGACTTTACACTCAAACTCCACGTCACTTCCCACCACTGCGGTGCGGTTAGCAGGCAAACCGGCCTGGAGGATCGGCCTGTGCGGTGAACGCTCTGTATCACACACACACATTTATGTCAGTGAGGTTGAAATAAACCTGATTAACAATTCTTTTCAATTCTTTTTCCCTCTTAAAGAAATCAAAATATGAATCTGTATTACGGCAAATGGGATCTTCAACAGGGCTCGACAATAAGGACTGCTCAGACGTCACTCAGGAAAGTCGACACAACTGGCACATGTCCGATCGGGCATCATGAAAGCCTTGTCAATTTAAATATTCAAGTGCAAGAAGACGCGAAAGAGAGCTAAATTCAATAGTGTGAAGTTTTGTTTGCGCACACATCTGAAGAAAGCCGCTTCTCAGACAGCCGCGCGAATGCTGAATCGGGCTCTCGTTCACGTCATCTTGCGCTCAAACGACACATACACACACAATTACATCAGAAAATACCGGTCTCAACGAGTATCCCAGTAACCATAGTCTGTTATATCTTAAGTGCCATAAACAGTTGAGAAATAAAATGTGCGTAAGTATATTGGATCCGTGCAGGTTTTCGTTTTAATGTTAATCAAACAAGGACAGTTAAAAATAATCACTCATTGCACCAAACTGTTGTAAATTTTCTATATTTAATTTATACAGAGAAGACTATTCTATTTTACATTTGATTATTTATTTTTTCTACCTGAAAATTACTGTTAGACTTACCTAAAAATCATAAAAAGCAGTGTTTATTTAATTTGTATGTTCGTTCTATTGTATCTGAGATATTGCTCGTAATTTGATTTGTTCTTATATATATATATATATATATTGATTATATAATATATAATATAGTATAATATATTATATAAGATTATATAGATTATAAATATATATATATTGATATATATTTAATATATATATATACTGTAGATGTTGATGCATGAAAGATATAGGTTAGCAACAAGAGTTAGCAGTTTTTGGTGTCACAAAATTATTTATTAAGGTTGTCAAAACCAAAAAAACAAAAACAATAAATAGGCCTAAGTTTTTTATTTTAATGGCTTATTTTGAAAGCCACAGCCCATCTCTCAGAACTTCAGAAAAAAAGGCGGCAAGTCTATAAATCTACAAACAAACATAAAAAAGAGAGAAAAATGTACGCGTCTATTTTATTTTGATACAAATCGCACACAAACTCGCATCCTCTGAACTCAGAAGTAGGAACATCCCAAGTGGACTTGATGCCGTAGATGTGCAAATGTTGTGTGCGAGTGACAAATTAAAATGGCGTCTTCTCATGAATGTGTATGTAGGGTGCAAATGATGTCACAGCAGCACTGATTTATTTGCTACTTAATGAAGGCATCAATCAAGTCCATGTCAGCCAATCAGTGTTTGAATTACTTTATTCCACATACACTGATCTCATCTTGAGCCGCCAACCACGTCTCTAACTCATCCACTGCATCACGTAAACACTTTATATTTGCAATGGATCATTTAACACTCACCACCAACAGAGTAGCGTGCCTGTCCTTGGCGCTCGCACGGAAAATGTAAAGCGAGCCGTTACTTCGGTTCATTTCAGCGAAGTAATGGTAACCATTAGTGGTGCTGCGCCAAAGCATTAGCTGCATGGTGAACAACACCCATTTGCATCTGATTGACTCAAGTAAACATTGCATTACATGGGGGATCATTTGCCCGTGCTAGATAAAAACGCAAATATATTTAGGGTTTGCAATAAATCACTGCAGCTGAGCTGGTGGGGAAGGAAAGACGTGCTTGGGTGTAGATGATATTTACATCAACATAGGTAATAAGACTGACCGACTACGTCCAGCTGGTAGGTGTGATTGATGCTGCCGTATTTGTTTTCCACCAGGCAGGTGTAGTTGCCTTTGTCTGACGGCACCACCGACTCCATTATGATGGTACACATGCGCTCCCGAATCTGTGCAGAGAAATGAAAAGTGTAAAATAAAGTGTGCAGATTCTGTGTGCACCTAAAGGAAACTAAATTGAACACATAATGTAATCTATTTAGTAGGGCTGTCAAATGATTAATCGTGATTAATCACATCCAAAATAAAAGTTTTTGTTAACATAATATATGTAGGTGCACTGTGAATAATTATTTTTTATATATATATATATATATATATATATATATATATAAATAAACACACACACATGGTTGTATATATTGAAGAGATATTTTCATGTATATATTGTATATAGATTTATATTATATATGAATATAAATATTTTATATATAAATAATATTTTTTTCTTAACCCTCTGGGGTTCTTCGGGTCATTGACATTTTTATTATTTATATTAGCGTTTAAATAAAAAAATGTTAAAAATCGTAGCTTCATCAGAATGGTCCGAAACTTGGTGACTTTAATGGTACTTGGTATATGAACACCCCAAAAAAATGGGGACAGGATTTGAAAAGTCTAAGTGGTCGTAAAAAAAAAAAAAATAGTCACACTTAAAAATGTGAAAATACTGAGTATATTCAATGGGGGAAAATTTGGTCATAATTATTGCATTAATACTAATTCTAATTTTTTTTTATTTTTGAAATTCTCAAAACACCAAATTTTTAAATATGTATCCCGCCCTTCGGGTCAATTTTGACCCGAAGGCCCCGAGTGTGACTGTTAAACGAAGAACACCAGAGGGTTAAATATATATGTACATGTGTGTGTATTTATATACATACAAAATAATTATACACAGTGCACCCACATATATTATGTAAACAAAAACTTTTATTTTGGATGTGACTAATCGTGATTAATCATTTGACAGCCCTACTATTTAGATAAATAGCATCTATTTAAACTAAGTGCAAATAGTCCACCTTGTTGGCAGAGGCTATTTACTCTAACTCCGCCCACCAACGTCTGGTTGGGCAAGACAAAAATACATTTACATTAACGCATTTGGCAAAGGCTTTTATCCAAAGCGACTTACATTGCATTTCAAGGCTCACACATTCACATTCTTAAAGGGGTGATGAACTGAGAAATCAAATTTTCCTTGAGCTTTTGACATCTAAGAGGTCATCATATTATAAGAATATCCTGTAAACGTCCTTGTTTGTCCAATAAAAGCTTTTATTGACACCAGGCTCAGCAAACGACTCGTTTTTCAAAGTGGGGAACTATGACGTCAAAGAGGATAAAACCCCAGCCCTGCAGAAGAAGATCAACGCCTACTTCAACACGTCCGGTTTAGCCCCGCCCACCGATTCGCGCATTACACGCATAGCTAAATATAGAATATCTAAAACATAACTATCATAATAACATAATCTAAAACTAAATATCTAAAACATAGATGCCTACCTTGTGATGACAAACCGGATCAAGCTACCGAGCGATACAGAATATTGTGCAGGATTGCGTGGATAAACTTTATTTTTAATGACGTTCCAGCTGATGAGGTAAAACATCGTCCGTCTGTTCGCTTCAATTCACTGAGGATTGTTTTATAAACAAGACTGGATTTGCAGAGCGATTAAGAGTAAAGAACGGTGCTGTGCCGTCTATATTGGATCTGACAGGAATGGTGCAACACACGGACTCTGGGTCGAACATGTATGGGCGAAGCCATTTTACAACATTGGACGTTTTCAAAACATTGCATCGACGGGTGAGTTGAAACTCATTATAATATGCAAAACTGTTCTCCAATCACAGCAGTGGGCGTTTACTTCCAAGTCTTCAGTGCGAGACGCCCATAAAAACCCAGCGTTTTTCAGCTAGGCTCAAAACTAGGGTACAAAATAGCCTATTACTTATTCATTTTTATGTTTTTGAATGCTAAAAACCAAGCGAATGTCATAAGTTAACCTCAGACAACAATATAATAAAATTTAAAAAGCCAGTTCACGACCCCTTTAACAATTCTGGCTTTCGCTGGGAATCGAACCCATTCAATCCCATAGATCTACTGTTCAAGCTACAGCACAGCTAAACATAAAACGCCTGAGACCGGCGTAGGGAGTGAGGCGTTTTATAGAAACTTGACGACTTGATCAAACAGAGTTTTTTTTTTTCATCGCATATCAGATTGGAAAGGCATTTATTTTCAAAAATATGTAGAAAATATATGAAAAGTGGAATTAAAGTGCCTAATCGTTTATCTTTACGGCAAGGGGTAGTATTTTAGGACTGTACAACGATTGATCACATCCAAAATAAAAGTTTGCGTTCAGTTTACATAATATATGCGTGTACTGTGTATAATTATTTTGTAAATGCATATGCATGTACAGAATATATTTAAGAAATATTTGCATGTATAAATAATTTATAAATATTTTGTAAATATCAATATTTAGTATAAATATTTGACATAAAAATATTTAGTATAAATATTTTACATATAAATAAAAAACAAATGTTTCTTAAATATATACATGCATATATTCATACAAAATAATTACACACAGTAGACGCATACATTATGTAAACAAACACAAATTTTTATTTTGGATGTGATCAATCGTGATTAATCTTTGCACAGCCCTATGGCATTTATTTAATCAATATAATCATTTACATTCAATGTTATTATTGCAAACTGTTTTATAATACTAAATACTGAAGTGCAAATAGTATTTAACTACAATTTACACTCACTGCCATTTTCACTTGATGTAAATAGCCGCTGCTGCCGTCGGAAAATTGCCTTTATGAAGGAACAGAAGTGAATCTGATCCAAAACTCTTAAAGACTTCTATAGACTAAACCTTCTTGCAGCCCAACACATAAAAGCAGAAAACTGCTAAATGCATTAGAGGACTGATTGTCTTTTAAGATCATTTCTATGAAAGGCTGAGGACGTTTAACAGAGCGAGCTGGCAGCAAATCCCCGTCAGGTCGGTTTAACATCAGTCAGGCACAAGAACAGAGCCGTGGAGAACAGCTTGTTCCACGGTGAAGAGAGGGAAACAAGCCGATCCAGTCCACGAACACACAGCTCTTCTCAAGCCAAGAGCTCTATAAAACGCCAGCGAACATAAAACTTCAGTCTATTATTGCCAAGCAACATGGACCTCTACAGATCAGTGGACATTTTAATAAATACATATGTTTTATTAAACTTCTTAAAGGAGTAGTTCACTTTTTAAAAAAAACTTTTGCTGATAATTTACTCACCCCCATGTCATCCAAGATGTCCATGTCTTTCTTTCTTCAGTCGAAAAGAAATTAAGGTTTTTGATGAAAACATTCCAGGATTTTCTCCATATAATGGACTTCAATGGGGTCCAAATGGTTCAAGGTTCAAAAGACACTTTCAGTGCAAACTACAAACTGTTCAAAGGGCTTTAAACGATTCCAGACGATGAATAAGGGTCTTATCAAGTGAAACGATCGCTCATTTAAAAAAAAAAAAAAAAAGGAAAAAAAAGTTTAAGTTTTATAAGCTCAAATGGTCGCCTTGCTCTGTTCTGTGATGCACATTCGCATAAACTTTTTTTTTTATTTATTAAATGGGCGATCGTTTCGCTTGATAAGACCCTTATTCATCGTCTGGAATCGTTTAAAGCCCTTTGAACAGTTTGCCCTGAACTTTTCTTTTGGACCTTGAACCGTTTGGACCCCATTGAAGTCCATTATATGGAGAAAAATCCTGGAATGTTTTCATCAAAAACCTTAATTTCTTTTCGACTGAAGAAAGAAAGACATGGACATCTTGGAAGACATTGGGGTGAGTAAATTATCAGCAAAAGTTTTAGTAAAAGTGAACTACTCCTTTAAAATATATGTGTATATTATATTACATCAGCATATAGCAGAGATTGACAACATTTTTTCTATTTGTGAATTATGTATAATTTGACACAAAGTTATCATCAGAGGTGCACAAGTATAACATTACGGTCCTATATTGATATTTTGTCCTCTCCTTTTGTGTTCCACATTGAAATATGAATGTCATTACAGGATTGGAACGGCATAAAGGTGAGCAAATTATTTTAGGGTGAACTAAACCTATAAAGATCCAGCAAACAGAGCATGTGTTCAACAGCTTGATGAAATGAGCTTTAGGTTGGGCAAAATTAATAAGCGGTTATAGCTTCTCGGCCTACAGAACCCCAGATGTGAGCTGCTACACTCAGTCTGTCTGACTTCCTCTTCACAAACACTTAATGTAAATGAACAATTGTGCCAGACTCTTGTTAACAAAAGAAACCACGAGAGACTGGGAAGAGTGCAGGGGGGAGGTTACCACCAAAAACCGCAGCCGGGCCCCTCGACGGAAGTCCTTCACACTCCTGGAGCTCACAGACACGTTTGGATGCATTTATGCACGCATTACTATCGCTATGATATTGTACAGAGTCCGTCTCGACACACACACACAGCATATTTCTTAGCATACTCAAATGCATGTAAAAAAAAAGGCGATGCACATGTTACCGTGTGTGCGTGCATGTGTGTATGCATTGCAGTGGCCTCAAACACACTCCAGATGGTAAAGTGTGTATGCGGTGAGGGAGAGGAAGAGGACTAATGTCTCCCAGCTGGAAAACACCTTGATGAGAAACACAGACGGCTACAGGTCCACAATGACACAAGCAGAGAACTGCGGAGAATACCACTGTCATGTCATGTAGACGGGAGAGGAATAGTATAAAAAAGTAGTATTTTCTAGAGAAATATTTAAATTTATACCTGTCATTATCTCATTCTCATTTGGATTTTCTAACCAATAAGCTGTGGCCAAAACTCCCTCAAACGCGTTGCTAAGAAATCACTTTAAACGTTACTTTGGGTTTGTTGACATTCCTGATCAACATGGTTAAATGAGTACAAGGACAGAGCTGGTTTATCCTGGAGTTTATTCTCGTCTGTCGGAGCACAACGAGTCGTGTTAAGCCTAGTTCACACTACATGATTTTAAAATGTTGGGCTGAACTGTGCAGTTCACATTACATGACTTGCTCTCAGTGAAATCATGAGTGTTCAAGTTGTTTAGCTGTTCACACCACACAACACAACGTGATTGATCCACAACAGGAGGTAACTCACTACACGAGTTAACAACGCACTGCATAGAGATACCACGATAGGATGATAAGAGCATATCATTTGTGACTCAATGAGAGCTGTTTCAGTACTATAATACGGTCTAAATCCTGAAAATAATCAAACAAATAACGAGTTGACAACAACACGATTCTATCTGGTCTAGAAACCATGTTTTGTAACGAAAAACCACGCAATAAAACGAACCAGAAATGACGCGAAACTACAGAGAAGAACACAACACGCGAATATGGACGTCAGACAGAAACTAGTGCTGCACACTGTTTGCTCGACGATCTGCTCTGAGAAAAAAAATGCAAAAAAGAAAAAGTAAGATTTACCTGGTGTCCTCAACCGATGCGTTGCTATGATTGGCTGTACTCATGACATCACTGAGATTGAGTCGCGCGACTGCTCGAGATATCTAGCAGGCTAGATATTTTTCTGAGCTCGGTGACCTGTCTGCGAGCTGTCTGCGAGCTGTCTTTGATGCGTTGTTGGCTCTTTCACACTAACGGATTGGCGAGCGTTAATCGTCCGCTAATCGCCCGCGATTTGCACGCGATAACACCCTGACTTGTCGGCGACTCAACGATTTGCAAATCGGGCTTAAATCGGGCTTAAAATCACGTAGTGTGAACTAGGCTTAAAATAAGGACAGCCAACCAATAGTAGGCCGCCTCCACCAGAAACCCACGGCTCCAATGTCTGCCTTCCAGGCATGGTTATTCAACCTCTGTCATGCAACAGTGAGGTGTCTGGAAGACAAATCTGTTGAGAAGGTGGCCTTTCAACCTCCAAATCACAGCAGCTGGCTCGCAAAAATGAAGTTTGGGAACCAATTTATCATACGAGTTTATCGGTGGATTAATTTCACACCAGCTTTACCTGCTTATCATTTTTTCCTTTAAAACTCGTCTTTGATCGTCAAAAAAAAAATTTAAACTTAAAAAAATGTATTCATGCCTTAAAATTGCTTGAATGTAACTCGACACCCTTGCCTCATTTAGTATATGCTGTTCTATGAATATGCAAATGAGCCCCGCCTCCACTCACTCACTCCCTTAGCTCAGAGATCCACTCGTTGACAATCACACGATCACACGCAGATCTGATTGGTTACAAGGTAGTGTGTGACGTCAGAAACACCAGCGATTTCAAACCGTGTCTTTGGTTCACTGCCGTTTTAAAGGGATACTCCACTTTTTTTTTGGAAATAGGCTAATTTTAACTGAACTGTTGAGTTTTACTGTTTTTGAATCTATTCAGTCGATCTCCAGTCCTGGTGGTACCACTTTTAGCATACATCTTTGAAGAGCACAAGACCATTAGCATTTCTCCAAAAAAAAAAAAAAAAAAAAAAAAAAAAATGACCAAAGAGTCTCAATATTTTTCCTATTTAAAACTTGACTCTTCTGTAGTTACATCATGCACTAAGCAGTCCCTCCAGGATTTCACAATTTTTTTTGTGATTTTTGCGATCAAAATGACTGATTTTGTGGTGGTAATTTCCAAAAAATTGTGAAAAAATTTGCGATTTATATTTAACATTTACCATAATAGTATTCAGTCCTTCCAGAAAAACGCTGAGTTTTTTTTGGTATTGTTGCGGGCAAAAATTGATTGATTATGCGGCCAGTTTTCTTTAAAAATGCGATGGAATATGTGGGATATTTATGCAATTTTATGCGATGAAATTGCTGGAATTTGCAAAAATTTAGGGAACTTGCAAAAATTGCGGTTTGATGAAAAAGAGAAAAAAAGTGATTTCCCCAACATCCTGTTAATATAAGAGTCATTTCTTATTACTTCCTTTGATAAGCAAGCATACTACATCATAGAAAGTGCTGGGAATATTTAATTTCTCATCTTGTTTTATTTCAGACTGTAAGAGTGTAAATAAGGTGTGGCCCCTTTAAGAGCTGCGCTCCCTGTTGAACTCTCTGCAGTGTTATATTATATGTGCGCCTTGAACACCCCATGTGTGCGGGTAATTTCTGTTTGATGCTACACTTCTTTTATCTTATGTTGTTTATTAAGTAACGATGTGACGGTAGAACGTGTGACAGACAGTTATACGAGTTCGATTTGTGAGATGTCAATCGCCTCCGTGAGTCTGTCTGGCGTCGCGTAATTGCGTCACTTCATAACGTTCCCATGGAAACAGGGGGAAATGGCTGCTCTTATGTGAAGCAAACGCAACATTTTTCAACTTTCTGCTAAGATACATGTGACTTTTTTTGCAACGAAAATGCGAGGATTATGAAATTATGCAAACCCCGCATATTTTGCACGGAAATCGGTAATTTATGCGGCGAAAGTGCGGCGTATTTGAAAAAATGCGGCCCCCGCATAAATATGCGGACTTTGGCTGATTTTGCATTGAATTCAGCGATCGCATAATCACGTTTTTCTGGAGGGACTGACTAAGACCGACGGAAAATGTACAAGTTGATTTTCTAGGCTGATATGACTAGGTACACGTGCTGCACTCATGGTATGGCAGTACAGTTTCTTGATTATAACGCAGGAATGAGAGTATAGTTCCTAGTCATATCAGCCTAGAAAATCACAACTTTACATTTTCCGTCGGTGTTAGTGCACGATGTAACTATAGAAGAGTCAAGTTTTAATTAGGAAAAATATTTAAACTCTTTGGTCATTTTTATTTGGAGAAATGCTAATGGTCTTGTCCACTTCAATGATGTATGCTAAGCTATGCTAAAAGTGGTACAGCCAGAACCGGAGATCGTCTGAATGGATTCAAAAACGGTAAAACTCAGTTTAACTCTGGGGGAGTTGTAAAATGAGCCTATTTCCAAAAAAAGAGGAGCACCTCCTTTTAAGGAGAAAATACTCAGCAATGCTGTCTTAAAGCATATTAAAAACACCATAAAGACATATAAAACAACATTAAAAGCTTAATTTTCACCACAGGGGGATATTTTGAAAGCATCTCTGGGATATAATTGGGATGTTGTGTAGTTACCCTCACCTTGAAGCCTCCTATTCGCTGGTCTTTCTTAAACTCTTTGCCGTTCTTGAGCCACTTGAGAGTTGGCGTGGGGTTACCGTTGACCTGGCAACGGAACTTGACAGTTTTGCTGGCGGGAACCGCGTGGAGCTTCTTCTCCATCTTATCAGGTTGAGCCCAAACAGGAGCCATTGCTGAGGAACAGATAAAACACAAGACTGAATGAAACTACAATGTGAACAGTATCAGGAGGATGACCATCTCAAGCAAGGGTAAGAGTACGTTCCAGGAGAGTGATTGTACTAAGGTGACCGCAGATTAGAGTGTGCAAGATTTGGGTGTTGGTTGATGGTTTCGTTCCTTTTGACTGGCTTGATAGTGCCCTTGGGATTTAAAGACTAATCCATCAAAAGACATGAAGACTTTCAGTCTAATAAACTAAAGCTTGGCACATTCCACAAGACGGCTGTGGTTCATAAAACAAAAATGTGCACCATTTCCTGCTTTGAAACGACAATCCTAACAACATTGATTCGCATTGACATTTGCATATCTTTGAGTCAGAGTTTGGAGAACAGAGAGTTTAGCAATGGTGACTCACGAAGCAGCTTCTGGTCACTTGATAGCTTGGCCTCCTCTGAGGAAGACTCATCTTCATCATCATCTTCTGAGAATATTGATCCATCTGACCAAAGAACAGAAAATCAGGTTATGTTTTTGAACGATATAAAATGTCAACCTATTTCGTATTCAACTAGTTTCTCACCTGTAACGTTGACATTGAAGTAATCTGTATGGTTGCTGTTGGGTCCCTGAGCAAAGCAAGCGTACAGACCGGAGTCGGCCGGCTCTGCTGTTTCGATCTCCAACTGGTCGCTGCGCAGACGCGTGTGCTCTCCGTCAACCAGTGGAACATGGTCCTTAGTCCAGGTCACCACCTGTGTCTCCTCTTTGCCTTTACAGCTCAGCTCCAGCTTATCCCCCGCATACAGAGTGTAGGGCGTGGGATCAACCGGGGCTACCACTAAGAACAAGACGAGAAAAAAAAAAGAGTTATGTTAAAGCCACTCTTTTAGTTTATTCTTAGCTAAAACACTTAGTTCCTTCAAAAATATGCGCTCATTAATGTATATTGAATTCGTTCAATTAATAAAGTATTCTCGTGAGTGTATAATATGCCATTGAAAACACATACGGGCAAGGGGTTCTAATGTTGGTCGCCATGTTGCCCCTCCGTCTTGAAAGTACATTAGCCAAAGAGGGACATACACGTTAATTCAAGCTCGCCTTTCGCGTTTACGTTCGAGTTAACACTTGTGGACGAGGTCGAACTGGAAGCCATGTTAATCTTGGACTACATTGGCCACCGTAGGAGTTAAAACGAAATCGGAATTGAGAGGAACAGAAACTAATATTCCCTGGATGGTCATATACCTTTTCACCACTAGATGGGGGTAAAAATCACACAGTGTAGCTTTAAGTTTAAAAGAATTTTCTTAAAAATAATTAGAGATGCACCGATTGACCGGCGCGTGACCGGAACCGCCCCGATTCTCACGTGACCAGCTGGTCAGTCTGTCACATGCGCTCGGGCGCTGAATGATTAACGTCACGCAACATCAGTATCACACGTGCACACAGAACGCACATGTAGGAAACCTTGTGAATTACGGCCGTTTTACACCGCAAGCGTGAACGGCGCATGCTGCTCTGCTCACGCTCAATTAAAGTGGAAGCACACTTTTGATGAAATTGTTTTTTTTATAAAAATAAAGGACTTAAAAGCGCCCAAAATGCACAGAATTTGCATGTCGTGTGTTTTAAAGGTGCCATTCTTCGTGATCCCATGTTTCAAACTTGAGTTAGTGTGTAATGTTGTTGTTAGAGTATAAATAATATCTGTAAAATTATAAAGCTCAAAGTTCAATGCCAAGCGAGATATTTTATTTAACAGAAGCAGCTTACATCGAACGGCCCGTTTGGACTACATCCCTCTACTTCCTTCTTTAATGACGTCAGGAGAACAGTTTTTTGACTAACAGGAATGCTCCCTCAACTCCCTCGACATAACTTGCTGTGTTTCCTCAGCTCTTACGGTGATTTTCTGAAGTAAAACTGACGCTTCATCTTTTGTGTGATGTACAATAAACTTTATTAAACTCATCAGTATATGTTTGATCATCATTCGGACCTGGTCCGAAACAGCAGACTTGTAGGCTATTAATAAATAATGGATACATATAAGCAGATGACAAATACGTTCTAATAACCGTAATTAAACTACTAAACTATAGCTGTTCCATCTCTATACAGCACTCTGACTCTGTAGGCATTATTGTCCGACTGGAAATGAACACCGTTACTGAGAGTTTCTGATATTATCATCATTCCGTGAGATGAAATTGTCCTGAGAGACTGAGCGTGAGCTTGTGAAGCTCCGCCCCCTGTGCCGGCAGCAGCAGCTCATTAGCATTTAAAGGGCACACACTAAAACAGCGCATTTTTCTGAGCCCCAAAAAATGACAATTTAAACTTGCTGTAAAAATGATCTGTTGGGTATTTTGAGCTGAAACTTTCATACACATTCTGGGGACATCAGAGACTTATTTTACATCTTGTGAAAATGGGCATAATGCGGGACCTTTAACAAGAACTGGAGTAGGCTATGTCAGAAAAGAAAATATACCCATTTAAACTTGTTTTTATTTTCGAGTTTGAGTAAAAGAATATGGTGCTTTATAAAAATATTTGTGTTATTGAAAATAAAAAAAGTGGTTAAAAAAAAGAAAATCGTAATCGGCCTAGAAAATTGATCGGTGCATCTCTAAAAATAATCGTAAACAATTCTTAAGTTCCTTTACAACCATTAGGGAAAACCACCAAACTGGCAACTACTAGGATAACCTCCAACTTAGTTAAATCTAAAGTCTTAAATCTACAAAGATGTCGGGTTGTTTCAAATATTAAGCATTACAACAAAATATGCATCACTACTAGGGATGTGCACGAGTAATCTGAAGAGACACCAATGATTGATAATGTGAACAACGATCGGCCATGATGAGTTACGTGACTTTTTGCTGAATTCGAAATTCTGAATCAAAAGTCCATCAACACCTCCAAAGCTTCACAGTCCTAAAGCTCGTCCTGGGTCGACATTTCATTCAGAAACATTAGGGAGTTTTGATTTACACACCGTTTAATGTTGTCGATTGCATTATTTTACTTAAAATGATATAGCTCGTTTCTACTTATCAAAAGATGTGCGATAGCGCCCCCTAGCGTATAACAGTGAAAACAAGGAAAGCAGTAACTTTCCGTCAATGGTGGGGAAGGAGTTAAAGGGACACTTGAGAAATTAAAGTCCCCCTGTGGTGAAAATCAAGCTTTTAAATGTTGTTTATATGTATATGTGAAGAGTTCAGATGCAAAAGCCTCTAAGTGCCATTTGAAATTATCTTCTAGAATGGCCATTTTTATCAAGCTTGTATATTTAAGTTCAGTAATTTCACTTAAATGACAATTCATAGGTAATCTTCATTCCCATTTAAGTCAAATTAATGAACTTAAATATACAAGCTTGATAAAAATGATCATTCTAGAAGAAAACTTCCAATGGCACTTAAGCCTAGTTCACACTACGTGATTTTAAGCCCGATTTGCAAATCGTTGAGTCGCCGACAAGTCAGGGTGTTATCGCGTGCAAATCGCGGGCGATTAGCGGACGATTAACGCTCGCCAATCCGTTAGTGTGAAAGAGCCAACAACGCACCAAAGACAGCTCGCAGACACCTCGCAGACAGGTCACCGAGCTCAGAAAAATATCTAGCATGCTAGATATCTCGAGCAGTCGCGCGACTCAATCTCAGTGATGTCATGAGTACAGCCAATCATAGCAACGCATGGGTTGAGGACACCAGGTAAATCTTACTTTTTCTTTTTTGCATTTTTTTTCTCAGAGCAGATCGTCGAGCAAACAGTGTGCAGCACTAGTTTCTGTCTGACGTCCATATTCGCGTGTTGTGTTCTTCTCTGTAGTTTCGCGTCATTTCTGGTTCGTTTTATTGCGTGGTTTTTCGTTACAAAACATGGTTTCTAGACCAGATAGAATCGTGTTGTTGTCAACTCGTTATTTGTTTGATTATTTTCAGGATTTAGACCGTATTATAGTACTGAAACAGCTCTCATTGAGTCACAAATGATATGCTCTTATCATCCGATCGTGGTATCTCTATGCAGTGCGTTGTTAACTCGTGTAGTGAGTTACCTCCTGTTGTGGATCAATCACGTTGTGTTGTGTGGTGTGAACAGCTAAACAACTTGAACACTCATGATTTCACTGAGAGCAAGTCATGTAGTGTGAAATGCACAGTTCAGCCCGACATTTTAAAATCATGTAGTGTGAACTAGGCTTTAGAGGCTTTTGCATCTTCACTCTTCATGTGGTGTTTTTAATATGCTTTAAGTCAAATTCATATGTTTGCTTGGTGATCAAAGATGAGATAAGGGATACAATTATCGACTACTAAGAATTTTAACGAATGTCTCAAAATTGATCCAAAGAAACTCCTTTCTTAAAAAGATTTTTGTGAGTCAAACCCTCGTCAACATTGTTGCAATTGGCATCCTACAGTTGAGCAGAAACACCTTCTAACGTCGATCAAAGATCCCAGCTCAGTCACTGCTAGATCAAATCTGAGTTTGAATTAGTCAAGAGCCAATTGTCAGGCCAATTCTGAGATAGAGCTCAAATTTGATTATTGGATGCAAGGTCGGGGGCATCGCCTCGGATACCGCCACCTGAGCCCACCCGTTGCTCTAGGCGACCAGTGGGGGGGGGGGGGGTGTCTAAATATAATAATATAATTACGCAGATTCATTGTCCATCAACATGTCATTCATTCATCTGCACCTTTCAAGCAATTGGCTGTGCACTCTTAAAGGGGAAGTGCTTCTTGTGGATCTTGGGGATTATCCCTGCTGGGGTTCCTCTTCAAAAGAATAGACTGATGTTGTCAAAGAGCAAATTCTGACACCATATGCTAATTCTGACTCTATACCAACAGTGAGATGAGGTGAGATTTTCACATTTACAAAACAAATGGTGACCGCTTCGTATTCAAAAGCTAATTGGATTAATTTCCGTTCAATCACAATGCATTTGACTTGCGCTGAGGGATTTGAATGACACCAACTGGTTTCCTGTAAAAGATGCACCAGGACTTGATGATTGTTCAAAAAAAGGTCAAATTACCATGAAATCCTGCCACCTTGCAGTAGACGACATTTCCACTATTGTTTTGAAATGCGAGTCAATCTAAAGAAACAATGCGTGGCCTACATCCCATTGAGCCACTTTTGGTAAAAGGACCTAAAAAACAACACGTAATTGCAAAGTATAAGTTAGAAAATTACAAAAGAATTTCTTCTGAAAAGTCTGCCAAAGGAGTGCGGTTGTGAAAAAGCGTTCATGAAACTGGTATGCTTTTCCCCCCCGGCACGTTTTTAATAATACACGCAACCCAGGTTTCCTCTTGACTAGTTCTGCTGTAGTAACTCCGCCCATCACTACCATTAACTCTGCTAATAAAGGAGAGCGAGCGAGAGGCCTGTAGCGGCAGGTTTTTGGGATGGTATCCATGGTGACCTCAGTAGGGTCTAGTTAAGGTATTTCCTGCTTCGCATGTGTCTAACAGGCTCTTAATCCTGACAGGAACAGGGGCCATGGAGGGATCAACTTTCCCCACCAAAACACTGCAGAAAAGAATGAAGGAAGAGACAAGAAGATGAGCTAGTCTGGGTCTAATTTAGACACAAATAGAAGCTTAAAAAGAGGGCGAGTAACCTTAGTTTAAATAAGTAAACACTTTTCAAGGTTGGATTGCTTTTATCAGTCAATTATATACCACCTGGAATAGCAAAACGCTATTATACATTTGCACCCACATTGCTTATCGCCTTTTGTATCAACATGCCTCAATAGCAGCCATAATATGGGGTAAAAAGTCAATGAAATCCAGCGAT